GGCATAATGACATATATCATGTCACACAGACGACACTGGAGTTGGTGTGGCAGTAATCAATAAAATAGAAAAACAAAACAAATAAACAACACACTCAGACAGTGGTGGCCCATGCCTTTAATCCCAGCACTCAGGAAGCAGGGGTAGGTATATCTCTGTGAGTATGAGGCCAGCCTGGTCTACAGCGTGAGCTCCAGTTCAGGCTCAAAGCTACAGAGAAACTCTGTCTTGAAAAGAAAAAAGAAAGAATTAATGAAACAAATACTTGGTTCTTTGAGAAAATCATTAAATTGACAAAACCTTGGCCAATGTAAGTTAAAGGCAGAGAAAAAATATCCATATAACAAAATTAGAGATGAAAGGGTAACACACACAATGAGCAAATCCAGAGTCATTAGGACATGCTTTAAAACCCTGCACTCCACCAAGTGGGAAAATCTAAAAGAAAAAATAATTTTCCTGATATATACCAATTACCAAATTTAAATCAGTATCAGATAAGCAGTTTGAACAAACCTATAACCCCTAGTGAAACAGAAGTAGTAATTAAAATTCTACTAAACAAAGAAGAAGTCCAAAGCCAGATGGTGTTAGTGCAGAATTCTACCAGAAAGAAGAATTCATTCCAAATTATTCCACAAAATAAAACAGAAGGAATATTCCTAGTCTATGAAGGCACAGGACCCAAGCCATATAAACTAAACCACACAAAGACCCAACAAAGAAAAAGAATTACAGATCATATTTCCTCATGCACATAGATCCAAAAATTCTCAATAACATACTTGCAAATTGAATCCAAAAACATATCAAGGTCATCCATCACTACCAAGCAAGCTTCATCCCAGGGAGGCAAGAATCGCTTAACATATGTAAATTGATAAACATAATCCACCATATAAACAAACTCAAAGATAAAAACCAAATGACTATCTCATTAGATGCAGGAAAGGCCTTGACAAATCTGATACCACTTCATTATAAAAGTCCTGAGGAGATTAGAGATATAAGAGATACACTTTTGCATAATTAAGACTGTTGTAGGTTGTTTTCTTGTTTTGTTTTTCTTATTTGTTTTCGTTTTTATTTTACTCTTTTGACTCTTTGCTCTTTTGGGGACCACCACCTAGCTCCCAAATAAATCACACATAGAGTCTTATTCTTGTTTTAATCTGGCCTTGTCTTCACTTGTTTCTAGTCAACTTTTCTTAAATCATCCCATCTATTATTTGCCTCTGGACTTTATATCTTTCTCTATTTCTTTATACTTTTTTTTTTTACTTCTTTGTGGTTGGCTGTGTGGCTGTGTGGCTGGCCCCTAGTATCCTCCTCTCCTCCTTTTTTTTCACTCCTTGATCTCTTTCTCCCCAATTTCTTTTGTCCTATTTATTCTCTCTGCCTGCCGACCTCACCTATCCTTTCTCCTTCCTTGTTACAGCCAGGTCGTTCAGCTCTTTATTAGACCAATCAGGTGTTTTAGACAGGTAAAGTAACACAGCTTTGCAGAGTTGAAAAGATCCAACATAAAAGAATACAACACATATTTGCATCATTAAATAAATGTCCCACAGTATAAACAAATATAATACATCTTAAAATAATATTCTATAGCAAAAGGCAGGTACAGTAAACTCATAGATAACATCAGCTTAGATAGAAAGAAACTCAAAGCAACTCCACTAAAATCAGGAACAAGACAAGATTGTCTACTCTCTTCACAGCTGTTCAATATAGTACTTCAAGTATTAGCTGGACACATACAACAACTGAATGGGATCAAGGGAATACTACAAATTGGAAAGGAAGAAGTCAAAGTATCTTTATTTGCATATGATATGATAGTATAATAAGTGACCCTAAAAATTTCCACAGAAAACTCCTAAAGCTGATAGGCACTATCAGCAAAATAGGTGAACACAAAATTAACCTCCCAAAACCAGTAGTCTTCCTATATACAAATGGACTAAGAAGAAAATCAGGGAAACAACACCTTCCACCAAGGTATTCCAACTATCTTGGGGTTAACTCTAAACAAGCAAGTGAAAGACTTGTATGATAAAAATTTTAAAACACTGAAGAAAGAAATTGAAGGAGATATCAGATGACAGAAAGACCTCCCATGCTCATGGATCAGTAGGATTAATATTGTAAAAATAGCCATTCTACAAAAACAATCTACATATTCAATGCAACCTCCATCAAAACTCTAACTCAATTCATAGATCCGAAAGGACAATGTTCAGCTTCATACAGAAAAACACACACAACAAACCAAAAATAGCTAAAACAATCATAAATAATAAAATATCTACTGGAGGTATCATCATTCCTTATCTCAGAGAAAGACAAAATGATAGTAATAAAAAAGCTATAGCAATAAGTCTATAGTGATAAAAAAATAGCTACAAAGCTATATTAATAAAAATAGCATAGCATTGGCACAAAAACAGAAACGCTGATTAATGAAATCCACTGGAGACACAGACACAAATCCACACACCGGATTTTTGATAAAGAAGCTCGAAATACACACTGCAAAAAGAGAAAGCATCTTCAACAAATGGTGCTATTTAAACTGGATGTCCACAGAGAAAGGCTCTAAGTGCACCCTAAGAGTAGCAGTCAAGATGTGGAAGTTATTAGAGCTGAGAAAGCTGGAACAAGGCACGCAACACTGCTGATCTGCAAGATCAGCCGGAAGAGGTTAGAGAAGATGTGATGCTGTCTGTCATATGTGTGGTCAGTCTGGGGCCAGTGGTGAAACCTAGGCCCAGCTGGGAGCTGTTTGTGCCCATTCAGTCACGGCAATTACAGATGTGCTGCAGGGTCCCTTCAGATATCTTGCTGTCATGGCTGGAGCATGCCCAGGGCAACTGAGGAAGACCAAATGATGAGATGGGACATCACAGTTATAGATCTAGAGATTCTCTGCCAAAAGTACGCCCTGAAGACCCAGACCCAGAAAACACCAATACTAGGGTTATCGTCTTCCTGGAATAGTAGAAAATAATAAAAATTAATTTGGTTTTAATTTATGTGTAAATGTGTGCATGTCATGTGAGTGTAGATGCCCAGAAGCAGAAGAGGGAGTTACATCCTTCTGGTCTAGATTTAAAGACAGGTGTGAGCCACTTGATGCTGGTGCTGGGAACGGAACTCTGGCCCTCTGTATAAACAAGTGTCTTTAACTACTTAGTCACCTTCCCAACTCCTATTTTCTTCTCTTTTAATAGTTGCATGCTTAAACCTTGTATGTCAGTTGCATATCTGGTATGGACTATGGTCTATTATTGAATATTTATATAGTCAATAAATGTTCAGTATCATCAGTGACTCTGATAATTCTTGATGAATCTTTGATGAACCAGTAATCCATGTCCTTAATGAGATGTATATCTAGGAATGAGAGAAAAGGGAATGGATAAGATTGAGGTTCTACGAAGCCAAAGAAGAGGCTCCTTATTTATGTTAAGTCCTCTTATCCCAAGGTGGGCTGCGACTCTATTTTATCACCCAGCAAGGAACTGGGTAAATATTCACAGCCATCTTCAGCCTGAATGTTCCATACTCACCCTGGACTGACATAGAAGCAGGCAGACCAGCCTGAAAGTGTTGACATTGTTTCTGGTCATTTAGCCCCATCAACTACAAAGGGTTGGGAAATGAGATTCGCAGGGTGTCAGACAGGAAATGGGAACAGTCTATGAGTACCAAAAGTCATAGTTGGAGACTGAGGAAATGGCTTAACAGAAAAAAATAACTTGACTTGCAAACATATCTCATTCCAGGAGCCCATGTTAAAAAACAGATAAAAAGCATGACAGATGTTGTGGCACATGCCTTCTTTAATCCTGGCACTCTGGAGATACAAACAGGCAGATCTCTGAGTCTGAGACCAGCCTGGGGTCTGCATAATAAGTTCTAGGCAAGTCAAGGGCTATAAAAAACTGTAAAAAGGCCAAGAATAATGGCACATACTTGTAGAGAGGAGCCAGAAAAGGAAGACTGGAAAACCGCATGTTTGTTCTCTGGGTTGCTGTTTAAATACCCTGTGGGAGTGGTCTTGAGCATCTCTGGGGAGCGGGGAGTCATCATTTGACGAACTTTTGGAGTCCAGACTGAGACAACTCCCAGAGGAGAAAGCTTGGGATGGAACTTCCACCCAAACATTCCAGACTCTTTGGATATATGGATGTCAGGGGCTGGGGTGAAGCCTGAACCCAAACATTCCAGACTCTTTGGGTATAGGAGTGCTGGCTCAAGTCTGACTGCTTTCTGCAGGCATGAGGCGATGTGGGGAAGGGGAGAGTTGGGAGTTGGTGGGCTCATGCTCAGCGGAAGGTATGGCAGGAGAGGCATCTGGTTAACTGTCATCCTGGAGACCTCAGGCATCTGTTCCTTGAGGGTGATGAGAAGACAGGTTGCTAGGAGAAAAAAAATTGATTGTTATTATCAGCCCTATGAACGGGGCTAGCCATAGGGAAGGTGATTAGCTGCCAGAAAGAATGAGACAGACAAGTGTCCTGGTTGTACAGGAGAGGCAAGGGTGAATGAATGAGATGAAAGCAGATATACCCTTTAAAAACAGATTTCAGTTGCTGGATAGGTGCCCATACGAGCCTGGAGAGATGGTACCAATGGTGAAGTCCTAGGAGCTGGTGAGCTGGTATAAGTGCTGGTGTTATTTGGAGAACTCTCCATAGGTTAGTCTTGGCCCAGGCAGGAGGAGTGACCTGTAAAATATGTTTAAAAATGGGTGGGGTCAAAATAGGTTCAGGAGACTGTCAGTTTTTACCAGATCAGATTTCTTGATACAGCAGCAGAACTTTTCTCAGGAACCTGCAGGTATCTGTAAGACAGCTGGAATAGACTTACATCTTGGTGTTATAGCAAAAGACTATGGCTTTTAGGTTTAAAATCATGAACATTTTAGTAGACAATTAAAGGAAATTGGAAACTGTACCTCCGAAGATACATATGAAACCTGTTAATTTTGGACTACGAAGCCTGTGAAAGAGGCAGACCTGTCTGTATTTTTAGAAGGAAATTTAACAAATGAAGTAAAGAACTACTAGTACCTTAAGTCATCAATGCCATCAGACAGATCTAAGAGGGATAAGTAAATAAGCAGGAGTGAAACAGCTATTTTTAGCTACGCAGGCAATCAGAAGTCTCTCCATAGTCTTTGGAAAATACCAGTCTTAGAAGCAGTACTTGCCTTTAACTGCTGAACCCAGCAGGCCCGAAGATTTTTCTGTGTGGGTAGGGTTCAGTCTACCTGTCTTGGCAGGGTGAGATGATCAATCCCCTGGTGTAGTGTCCAGGAAGCTGATGCAGTGGAAGGCAGCTTTTTGCTGTGTGGGTGGCTTTGCCATATCCAAAGGCAAGCCTCAAGGCAGAAGGTCTTCTGCAACCATGCATCTTCTCGAAGGAGCTAAAGGATGCTGCAGGAGCTGGCATGTCTCTCTGTCACAAGAAGCTCTTTTGTTACAGATCTATAAAGGCGCTTGAGAATCAGGGTTTCATTACCTGTCGGGTATATCCAAATTAAACATATAAGTTAAATTTAGGCATATTGTTTACCCAATCAGTTACAACTTACTAATGCTAGTAGAGGCAAGAAGATTAGAAGGAAAATTTTAGTAAACCAAAGTATATTGGAGGCAGAATGTCTCCTTGGTAGGTTCAGCGCATGTGGGTACTCTTACGGAAGGTGGTGCTGAGGTTTCTATTTTGACCACAACCAGTAATGGCAGCTGTCCACTTGTTTGCATTTTCCCAGAGCTATTGTAATCTGGGGTTATAAGTTTTACAGATTTTAAAACAAGCACACATACACAGACACAAAATATGCATACTGTGGCTACATTATTTACACATATATATTAACTAGCAGATAAACAAAATTTTTTTTCAAGAAATTGTGTCAGTTGACCAACTTAAAAATTATGGAGTAGGCTGCAGAAGCCAGGTTAGCACACAGGTGGTCCCTTTGAGGGCCACATCAGCAGATGCTGTAAGGGGGAATAGAAACACAAGAATGGAACACCTATGCATCTCAGAGTGGGAGGACAGGGGAACCTGATCCTTTGTAGGGAGAATCCCAGCATGACCAGATCACATGCCAGGAATGTAAACAAACAGCAAAGGGTGAGAGAAGCAGGGAGGGTGTTAGGCAGGAGAAGCAGGAACACAGTATCTAGGCCATGGGCATATGGGGCCTACATATGGGCATATGGAGCATACAAAATAAATGACCAAAATAATGATTTTTTCGTATCCATGTATAAAACAAAATTTAATGATTAAGAGGCTGTTGTGAGATATTTGATTACATTGTGTAAAGATATGTCACTGTGCTTGGTTTAATAAAAAGCTAAATGGCCAATAGCTAGGCAGAAGGTATAGTCAAGACTTCTGGACAGAGAGAGCTCTAGGAAGTAGAAAGGGGAAGTCACCAGCCAGACACAGAGGAAGCAGGACTTGCAGGAGGAGAGATAAAAGCCACAAGCCACTGGCAGCGCGTAGATTAATAGAAATGGGCGATGTCAAGAGCAAGTTAGAAACAAGTTTAAGTAAGATATGGCTGAGTTTTTGTAATTAATAAGAAGCCTCTGTGTCATTATTTGTGTGCTGGCTGATGGGACAGAAAAAGACTCATAACATATATTGCCCAACACAGGGGCAAGTATTTCCACATAGGACCTGAGAAATCTTTAAAAGTTCCAAACACACAAACAAGGACCCAGACACAGCTTCCTAGTCCCACATACTCTCAAGTGGGTCACAGCTTACAGAAATGTGGCTTCCAGCTGCTGCTTGCAGGCTGGAGCCAGCCACCAGCACCATGTGCCAGCACTTTGTGTTAAGTTGAGTCATGTGGTGGCTGACTTGACAGTTTAAGACTTGTGTCACATTGCCAAAGAATGCTGCAGATGCCTAGTAACGCCAGGTCTAGACACACACACACAAACACACACTAAAATGGTACAGTATGTTTTAAAATGTGCTTAGATTCTGAAAAAAAAAGAAAATGGGTACGGAGAGTTGTAGAAAAATAAATAGTTTAAAAATAATAAAGTCTTTCAAGAGAGAGTGAGGTAATATTTTAAGGAGTCATGTAAAGACGGGAAATACATTGACCATCTTTATCATGTGTATGTATCATGTATAGTGCTTTGTTGACTTTGAATTTTTTTAATGCTAATGAACAGAGAACAGCAGCTGCTGAGAGACATTGGAGTGTGGGAGGGACTGGTGAATTAAATCAGCCTATATACTTTAGGAATGCCTTAGTTTCAAAGTAGAAGTCGGGCAATGTGTTGCATTGGGAGAGAGGTTATGCTTTTGTTTCCAGAGGAAACAAAAAGCTCTGGATTCCTTCAAAGTTAATCAAGATCAGATTTGACTGGGGAAGAGCTCCTGAGAATCTTGGCTACAGACTTGAGGGGAAAAGTCAAGACAGTTTACAAGACAGATGATGTATGAGCTGATCCCTCAACATGGGAACAGCTCTGAGACTGGGTGAGACATGATAAATCTTATTGGCTACAGAGTCCTCAGGACTTATTATTACATGCCATCGGTTCATATGGATGAGTAGAGATTTATGTTACAGTTTGGTTATACAATCCAATCAGACTTCTAAAGTTGAAAGATGTTTTTTACCTACTCAACCATAAAACAAAAAAAAATCTTTAGCAAACTTGTGACACACTGCACATTTTATACTGTGTTAATACAGATATATGTGTTCCCTTTAAACGCAGACACCAATAAAGACAAGGAGCCCAGGTGACATAGCCTCTTGGAATGCCTCTTTTGCAGTTTCCTCAAAATCCTACACACAAACAACTTCAAAGCTGCTAACCGAGATGGTCCAGCCTCACAGACTGTCCAGTCAAGACTTCAGGTAAGCTCTACATTTTCCCATCACACAGAGACTAAACAGAAAATAATACAACTAGCTCTCCTAGGACTTGGCCATTATTCCAATTTCCTCAGGGTCCAAAGATGCTGTTGCCCCCAGACAACAGGAAGCATTTTAGAGAACATGACACCCACATTCCCAAGAGGTGAGGTGGGTGGTTTTTGGTCATTCAGAAGATTATGGATGTTTGTCATCCTTTAGAGGGGTTGGTTACAAGTTATTATTGGTAAGGGCCAGGAATAAAAGACTGAATGAAGATTAGAGTAGAGGGTTGGAGAGATGGCTCAGTGGTTAAGAGCATTGCCTGCTCTTCCAAAGGTCCTGACTTCAATTCCCAGCAACCACATGGTGGCTCACAACCATCTGTAATGAGTCTGGTGTCTTCTTCTTCTGACCTTCAGGCATTCATGCAGACAGAGTATTGTATGCATAATAAATAAAAAATTTAAAAAAAGAAGATTAAAGTAGATTCAGGGATCTCTTTCTGAAGGGAAAAAGGGGAGATGGAAGTAGGTGCAGAGACCCATAGCTCAGCACTGGGCCAAACTTCCAGAGTCCAGTCATAGAGAGGAAGGAACAATAATATGAGAAAAGGGATCAAGACCACTATGGGAAAACCCACAGAAACTGCTGATCTGAGCTAGTGGGAAATCACTGACTCTGAACTGACAGCTGGGGAACCTGCACAAAACCAAACTAGGCTTTGAATGTGGCAAAGTTAGCCATTTGGATAAGAAACTGCCCTTGCTTCAATTGCTGACTGTATGCTGTACAAACTGAACAAAAACAGAACACAAAAGAAAGCAACTGACAAATTTTACCAAGACAAGGTAGGACCTTTGTTCAAAATTATTGCTCATCAGAAAAGTATGTCAGATATTCTAGGCCTCTAAGTCAAAGATGGGCATCCCAACATTACATAGGAACCTTGGATGAGCTGTTTAGTCAGCTAGCTGGGTTTTTTTTTTGTCATTTCTATAGTTTCAGAAGTTGCTTGTTCTGCACTTCCTATTTATTCGGGTAATATTATGTTTTTTTCAAATCTGTGATAGAGAAGAAGATGAAATAGTTATAGTTACAATTTTCTTTGTTACCGAATTCAGAAATGAAACTCATAAAAGAAGTATAAAGTGTATAAAGTTGGGAGACACAAAACCTCAAATTGTTTATTTAAGGAAATGTTTTGAGGTCTAAAAAGATAGTGTTGGGTTAGTAATGCAAGTTACAATAAAAAGTGGTTTAGGTGCAAAACTTTGAACTCATCAAGATAAGATAGATAAAAGAGTAATTTCTCCAAATTTGTCAAATACAAGTGGACTGAAAATTGTAAATGTTATTGTTACCTGATAATTGTCCTTTGTGTATATTTTTTAACTTTCATTTTATTTAGACAAAAGGGGGAAATGTGGCAAATATATAATTACACTATGTGCTAAGCAGGAAGAGTAGATTGCATTTAAATGGGTGTTTACTTCTGCACGTAGGCCATGCAGAGGGTGAAAGATCCTTTACCTGGGCAGTCTTAGACCGTTTAAGGAGGAAATGAAGGCAGAGAAAGCATATGTTGAGAAGGAGGAGGTTGGAGATTTTTCCGACTCACACCCAGGGGTAGGACAGAGTTCATGTGACCAACGATATGATCACCTACAGAAGATCCACACAATAACAACACAATTTGATAAGTCGCCATGGGGCAACTTAACAAGGCTCCACCCCTAGATGCAGAGCTATGGGCAATTAATGGTTTTTGAAAGGAGTATTTGTCTTCCGCAAGGATGAGTCCACTAATAGGCTATCCAGTCTCAAGTGATCACATGTACATATGAGTGACACTGAATGGACTTGGCAGGTTGTATTTACATACACACATACTTGCATTGTGTGTATTTTATATACATATGTACAAAGTATTTCATATATTTGTACATATGTGTTTGTGTATATACAATATTAATGATTTAAAAAGAGACTAGGAAGTGGAGGGGCAAAGGGAGAGTTGGAGGGGTAAAAGCAATGTAAGCATAGTACTCACGTATGAAATTCTCAAAACACTATTAAAAGAAAAGGAAACAAGAACATAGCAGAGAGCCTCAGTAATGGCATCACATATGCTTTAACAGCCTGGAGAATGTTGACACCCAGCCAGAAGGAGCCAGCTAGAAAAGACATTGACTCTCCCTTCTCTCTTCTCATGCCTGTCCTTGACTCTATAAAGAACTCAGAAAACTAGGAAGGCGAGGTGGAGAAGGTAAAGAGCATCCATTTTCCCTTAGTCCCCATGCTAGGGATCCAGTCTGCAGCAAACTCAATCTAAAGAAGAAGGGCTTTAAGCAATAGCTGGTTTTGATTCTTATATAAGATTGAATGCTAGTTTTCTGGTTAAAAAGAACTTACTTTAGATTTTAACAAGAGTGGGGAATTCTCCACTAAGGGCATCCAGAAAGGACAGTTACAGAGAGAATAAGGTTGTCTCTTCAGATATCTTGAGTTCATGTTACTCTAATATAAATAACAAGGATTTTGGAAATTCAAAGGGAGAAATGCAAATTCATAGCAGGCTAACTCGACTTTTTAATATATTTTATTTATTAGTCTAGGGTTTTCAAAATCTTTTAAATGAGTATGGAAACCTGTCAATTTTGTTTCAACTTTTTATTGTTTTAAAATTAACTCCTGTTTTAAAGATTTAATTATTTTTAATCATTGGTGTGTGTGTATGTGTGTGTTAGTATATGCACATTGAGTTCAAATGCCCTTGGAGTCTGGAGGGGTCAGTCCCTCTGGAACTAGAGTTACAGGCAGTTGTGAGGCACCTGATATGAGTGCTGAGAACTGAACTTGGGTCTTCTGTAATTGCAGCAATCTGTCTTTTAACTGTTGATACCTCTCTCCTCCGGCCCCTTTCTGGCATAGTTTTAAAAACATTTGCTTGTGTGTGTGAGAGAGAGAAGTGGGGAGTTAGTTGTGTTTTTAAACTTGACTCATGTGTGTGATCAACATTTACCTTTCAAGACAATGACATGGCAAAATGCACCTCAGTGACATTTGTTTTATCTTTCAATCTCATGGCACCCTGTCAAATCTGATGAAGCTTAGAAATAAACTTTGATCAATACTCTTGTTTCAAACAGCTCCATTTGTGTTATCCATAGGACTAGCTTTTAGTCTGGAGTTGGTATATAGTCTGAAGCTTGTAGCATGAATTCTCATAGGTATTGATAATAAAAACCCAGAGTCAGATATTAGGGATTAAAAGCTAAGAGATCAGAGAAGCAGTGTAACCAGTCACTAAAGAGATCTTTACCTTTACCAAATCCTCAGACCAAAGGGGCAATCCTGATCTCAGACGGCATCCTCTGACTACAATGGGTTTCTGTCTTTTCCCGCTATAAATTCCTCTCTCTACCCAGCCATATCCCTCCTATCTCCATCTCCTTAGTGCTGGAATTAAAGACATGGGATCCCAAGACATGGGTTCACTTTTGTGTAAGTTTTGTTTCTCTTTCAGACTGGATCAATTTTGTGTATCCCAGGTGGTTTTGAACAAACAGGGATCTGTCTGCCTATGTTTCCCAAATCCTGGATTAAAGGTGTGTGCAACTATTGCCTGGCCTCTAGTGGCTTAGCTCTGCACTCTGATATTCAGGCTTTATTTGTTAAAAACAAAAGAAAATATCACTACTTTTTCCCTTTTTTGCCTAAAATTTAAAACAGAAAGCTATAACTATTATAAGAAAAACTATATACAATAAGTACAATAACTATATACAATATATACAGGCAATAAATACATCAACAATGTCTAGTCCATTTGTATTTTACAAATTCAGAGGAAAGACTCCATTATCTATTCATCTTGGTGAGTCTAAAGTGTTGTATCTAATTCACTTTCTATTTTAACTTGCATTACCAATTCAAAATCTTTTTATGTCTCTCAACCTTATATACTTTGCATTTCTTTAACAAATTTCTTTTCTGAGTCTGGTAAGCAAGGAAAACAATAACTATGACAATCTAGTCTTTAACTCCATCAGGGACCAGAGAAGAAAATAATATTAACTGAGTAAGCAGGAAGTATGAACAAGAAACTTCCAAAAAATGTAAGTAATGACAAAAACAGCTGTCTGTCTGGTCAAGGTTCCTCTGTAACATTGGGCCATCCATCTTTGGCCTACAAGCCTAGAATATTCAACAGACTTTTCTATGAAGCAGAATTTTTGAAGGTCTGTCCCACCTTGACCTGGCAAGGTTTTGTAGTCACTTTCTTTTGTGTCCTGCTTGTCAAATTTGGACAGCATACCAACAGTAATCAAGGCAAAAACACTTTCTTGCCTAGTGACATTCCATGTGGAGGTTCTTCAATGGCTATTAACTTCTCTGAAGTAGACTGGTGCTGCCAAAATCAGATATGTCTCATTGTCATAAAAAAAAGAACCTACATTATTAAGATATTTTAAATGTCATATTATGTAGATCTCTGAAGTATTTGAAAACAGCCCATATATCTAAACCATATATTTTTGACCTTAAAAACATAGAGAAGATGACTACAAATTTAATTGGAATAGGTGACTAATTACTAACTTGCATTTCCTTATTTATCCTATTTTTCTTCAAACCTCTGGAAATCACCTCTCCTATTCAAGTATCTTCATGGTCATGAGATTCAATATTGATTGTATCTTGGATCCAGTTCTCCAAAGGCACTGTTCTTGCCTTTAAAGGCTTAATTATCCTTTTGACTGAGAATTAGCATTTTCTTTTTTACTTGTTATTATTGAGCTATATATTTTTCTCCGCTCTTTTCCCTTTCTTCCTCCTCCCCTTCTACCTCCTCACATAATCCTCACACTTCCAATTTACTCAGAAGATCTTGTCTTTTTCTACTTCCCTTGTGGATTAGCTCCATGTATGTCTCTCTTAGGGACCTTTTTGTTGTCTAGGTTCTCTGGGATTGTGAATTGTAGGCTGATTTTTCTTTGTTTTATGTCTGAAAGCCATATATGAGTGAGTACATATATTATTTGTCTTTCTGGGTCTGGGTTAGCTCATCAATTTGATGTTTTCTAGATCCATCCATTTGCTTGCAAATTTCAAGATGTCATTATTTTTTTCTGCTGTGTAATACTCCATTGTGTAAATGAATCACATTTGCCTTATCCATTCCTTGGTTGAGGGGCATTTAAATTGTTTCTAAGTTCTGTCTATAACAAATAATGCTGCTATGAATATAGTTGAGCACATGTCCTTGTATGATTAAGCATCCTTTAGGTATATAGCCAATAGCTTTATTGCTGTATCTTGAAATCGATTGTTTCCTAATTTTCTGAGAAATTGTCATACTGATTTCCAAAGCAGCTGAACAAGTTTGAACTCCCACCAGCAATGGAAGAGTGTTTCCTTTGCCTCACATCCTTCGTATAAGTTGTCATCAGTATTTTTTATCTTGGCCACTCTTACATGTGTCAGATGAAATCTCTGAGTTGTTTTGATTTGCATTTCTCTGATGGCTATGGATTTTGAGCCTTTCCTGTAGTGTCTTTCAGCCATTTTAGATTCCTCTATTGAGAATTCTCTGTTTAGGTCTGTACTCCATTTTTATTAGATTATTTGTTCTTTTGTTGACCAACTTCTTGAGTTCTTCTATATTTTGGAGCTCAGCCCTCTGTCTGATGTGGGGTTGGTGAAGATCTTTTCCCATTCTGTAGACTGCCATTTTGTCTTAATGACCAGGTCCTTTGCTTTACGGAAGCTTCTCAGTTTTAGGAGTTCCCATTTATTAATTGTTTCTCTCAGTGTCTGTGTTATTGGGGTAATATTTAGGAAGTAG